GATTTGTTTGTTGAAAACTTGGATGAACATATAACTGAGAGTGTTAGTAGGAGTTTAGGTGGGGGTGAAAGGTTGCCAGTAGCTCAGATTGAGTATGAGGGAGCAGATGAAAGGGGGGAAACAGGTATAATTAACTTAGATGATGATGTTGATTTAGGTAAATCTGACTCAGATGTTGAGAGCTTACCTGATTCAGATGATGATAGGGGGATCCACTACCCTGTTTTCAACCCAGATGTAGATTTCAAAGACAAAGTGAAGTTGTGCCTAGGTCTGAAATTTCCATCTGTGTATGTGTTCAGAAAAGCATTAAGATATCATGCTGTAGATCATGGTTATAATTACTATTTTCTTCACAATGATAGCAAGAGAGTAACTGTGTACTGTGTGAATAAGTGTGGGTGTAATTGGAAGCATGGTAGAATTGTTTCATGCACATGTCAGGAAAGGAGGAAATGCTTGTTTAAGGTGCATTGTAAGAAGGTGAAAGGTGAAGCCACACTACAAATCAAGTCACTGAGAATGGAGCACATTTGTGGGAGGCAACATGTGAACAACAAAGTCTCAGCTAGATATTTGGCAGAGAGGTTCATTGATGAATGGAGAGATACTCCATCTTGGAAATTAAGGGATTTCATGGTCAGAGCTAGGAGAGTGCTTGGTGTGCAACTTGGGTATTACAAATGCTATAGAGCTAGGCAAATAGCAATGCAAATGATCCATGGTGACTTTTCAGAGCAGTATAAAAGAGTATGGGACTATTGTGAAGCTATTAGGGCATTTAATCTAGGTAGTACAGCAATAGTCAAGTGCATTGGAATTGAGCATCCTCCCCCACTATTTCAGAGGATGTATGTGTGTCTGCAACCTTGCAAGGAGGGTTTTGTGGCAGGTTGTAGACCTATATTAGGACTTGATGGTTGTCATTTGAGGGGACCAGTACCTGGAATATGTTTGGCTGCAGTAGCTAAGGATGGGAACAACAACTTGTTCCCTGTTGCATGGGCTATTGTTGAAGTGGAGAATGCTGAAACATGGGAATGGTTTTTGGAGTTACTAGTTGCAGACTTAGCTAGTGTTGCTGAGCATTGTAGTTGGGTGGGAGATACAGGTGTGACATATATGTCTGACAGGCAGAAGGTCAGTTTTTTATTACACACTTTCATATTTAAATGCCTAATTATGGTAATTGTAACTCCTAATGGTTGTTTCCTAATTTTGCAGGGCTTGTTGGAAGCTTTCAAGAAAGTTGTACCTGGAGCTGAAATTAGATTCTGCTGCAGACATATTTGGGCAAATTTCAAACTCAAATTTTCAGGGACGCTTTTCAAGCAATACTTCTACAGGGCAGCAAGAGCAACCACTAAGGTATGACCTTTATCACCTTGTAATTGTTTTAAAGTACTGAAAAAGGGTAATAAGCTGGCTTCCATTTGTTTATGTTGTTCTTTGTTTTTTTTTTTTTAGTTTCATTTTCACCAACAGATGGAGGCAATTAAATTAATATCACAAGATGCTTTTGATTATCTGAACAAGATTCCAGCATGCCATTGGTCAAGGCATGCATTCAGCAGTAGTTGCAAATCTGGCATGTTAGTCAATAATGTGGTAGAAAGCTTCAATAATGTCATTAGAGAAGCTAGGTCCTTGCCTATCTTGGGAATGATGGAATGGATAAGGAGGTGGGTAATGAAGAGATGTTGTGTGAAAAGGGACGGATTGGAAAAGTTTGATGGTCAGATAATTCCATCAGTGGTGAGGATGATAGAAAGGGCAAGTGAAGAAGTAAAGAAGTGTGATGTGACTCGAGCAGATGTGCATGAGTTTGAGGTAGATCATGTAACAACTGGTGAGACATATGTGGTGAATTTGCAAACAAAGAAATGTGGATGCTTCAGGTGGGAGTTAATGGGGATTCCTTGTTACCATGCCTTGGCTTGCATAGCAATGCAAAGGTACAAGTGGGAGGATTATGTCCATCCAGCATACCATGTTGCAACCTATGCTAAGACATATGCCCCATCTTTCCACCCTATGCCAGGGAAAAATCAGTGGCCAAGTAGTGGTTTACCAGGACCTTTGCCACCTCCATTCAAAAAACAACCAGGCAGGCCTAAGGGGAAAAAGAGAATCAAGGAACCAGGGGAAGGAGAGGATGCTTATGTACAGAGACCTAAGAAGCAAAATACATGCAAGAAGTGTGGTAGGCTTGGGCATTATCAGAAAACTTGCAAGAATCCACCACTCCAAGTACCTCCAACACCACCAGAATCACATACAACAACAGCAACACCTATGACAACCACAAACACACCCACACAAGTTGCTGCTATGTCTGGTAAAAAGAGGGGAAGACCACCAACAAATGCTTCAAAAGGGTCGGCAGCTTCTAAGGGTTCAGCTTCAAATGTACCAGCATCTTCTAAAGGCCTATCTGCCTCAAAGAAGCAACAACCTAATGCTGCCAGTGTCATCAGCTCTCAAGCATCCACTTCATGAGTTTATTCTATGTACTGAATGCAAGCCAACAACCTAATGCTGCCTGTAATATCTTTGTTTTGTGGATTATGTATTGAACATATTTAAGTTTTAGATTCTATGACATACATTTGCAACTATGGTGTAATTGAAGCTTGATGTTTAATTCTATGTACTTGTTTAACTGTTGGTTGTTATAAATTCCAGTGTTTAACTATGTTAATTCAGTGCTCTGTAACAGTTGGAGGTTGGTAGGCAGGGGTTGAGTGCTCTGTAACAGTTGGAGGTTGGTAGGCAGGGGTTGAGTGCTCTGTAACTGTTGAGTGCTCAGTGCTCCCATACTTTTTTATCATCATCTCTAATTAACTAATGTATTTATTATTAATTTTTCTAATGATTTAAATCTGCAAGGAACTAATGAGTTATTTATTCTCTGTATGATTATCCCAACTTTAAGGCACAGAGACCTGTATGCAGTGGATCATACTGTATATGCCAATTTCCCATTCTCATCTTTTATTGTTTGCGGCATTTTTTATTTTTCCTTTCAGCTGAGTAAATTTTGTTTTCTTCTGAACACATCTGGTAGCAGCATCAACCTTCCTGCAATAAGTTAATCGAAAATATTGATTGTTGCTGCAAAGTTCTGGATAAAACTCTGGGAACTGAATCTTGTGAACCAGTATTGATACAATCATTTGATTAATTCATTCAATTGAAACTACATCATACTAATTCAAACTACTGCATACTACTTAATAATACTTCATACTACTTAAACTACTGCCTACTAACACATTATACAGGTTCATTCAACCTAACAATTTCACCATGATGAAACTAAAAATTACAGATACAACTACACACATCAACATCATAATTCCAAAGCTTTCATTGTGCCCCATCTTTGACTTCTTCAACTTCAATTTCAGTTTGTCATACTCCTCCTTCAACCTCTTATTCTCAGTCTCTGAGCAACATAATCTTGTTTGCAATACATTGACTTCTGCTTTCATAAGTTGCTTCTCAGTTATCAGTTGATTAATGGCGTCGCGTTGCCAGTTGGTCATATCTTCATCAACCCAACGAAAAAATTTGCAACCCCTTTGATTCGTTTCTGGGTTGTAAAATTTACAGGCCTCAAATCTTCGTGCAGGATTCTCATGAGTCCAAGACTTGAGCCGAGCAATTGGGATGCCACACCAACACTTATAATTCTTCCCTGAAGATTGAGACATCCTGTGGTACAAAAAAAATCAAAGTTTAGCAAACCCTAATTTTCGCATTTCGCCCAATCCCCAATTCCAATTCTTTCCAAAAATTTCAAAATTACCAATCAAGATGTCGATAAACACAAAGAGATACAGATGAGGAGAGAAAGATAAAAAAAAATGAACAATTAAACCTTACCCACAACAATGGAGGAAGGAGAAACGCAGAAGGAAGAAGGAGAAGGAGGAGGTAGAGAGAGAAAGGAATTGGAAATTAAACAGTAAAAAAATCGACAGGTAAAAAAAAAAGAGGAAAAAAAAAAAAATTGGAATTAAAAGTCACGTGCGAAGCACGTGACGGTCAACGCCGGAAAATTTGGGTCAACGGTCAGATTCCGGCAATAGGTGGTGTTTTGCAACAAAAAAATTTTAAAAGGTGGTACTTCACCACATTTTTTTTAAAAGGTGGTTTTTTGCAAAAAGTGGTTTTTAAAAGGTGGTTTTTGGCAAAATTCTCTATTTTAATATAGCTTTTTGCCAAAAAAGAAAGTGTAACACTTATTAAAACACTATCGGATTTGGTAAGTGTAATACTTAAAAAAAATGGAGGGAGTACTAATCATTAAATCACTTTATCTTAAAAATTTGTGAAATGAGAATAAGACCTTGTTTAATTCACCTTATTTTCACTTATTTCAGAAAAAATAAGTTCGGATCTGATCAGATCATAAAAAATAAGGTCAGATCATATCATCATTTTATGTGCAATTTTTTATCGCTAAATATCGTTAATTTTGTAATAAAAAATTCTGAAAATCACATATTAATAAAATACACATTATTACGAAACTAAAAAGACCCCACTTAATATATTTTTTCCGTATATACTATCGTATATGTAAGGTCAAAGTTTGGTCAAATCTAACATTCAGATCAGATCAGATCAAACTATATCAGATAAGATCAGACCATACCAGATCAAATAAATTCAGAACTAAATAGGGCCTAAGTATTTAAAATTTGTTAATCGTGCATTGCCCGGATGTTGTACTAGTAGATATACTGCAAGGACAAAATAGTCATTTGCACCCATCAGGAAGAATATAAACGAAATACCGCCAATTTAATCACCTCCCGCTAATATACGATATTCATACGGTACAACCCTACTTGTATACGTAATTTTTAATACGGAGTAATAAACAGACATTTTTTTTTTTTTTTTTTTGAAAACCTAATAATAAAAAGACATATTTTTATTTTTCCTACAAGGAGTTTTTATTTATTTTTATTTTTCTTGTTATATTTTTTTCCAGACCGGAAAAAGTACTAAAAACTAAGAAGAGAGAGAAGACAGAAACATAAACAGAGCGCGAAGAGAAGAAGAAGAGGAGGAGAGAGAAAATAGATTTCTCAGGCGAAAAATAGGGTTTCGACTTTCGAAATCTCACCTACGAAACGTTTCTCGATCTACGCATTCAACAATTTCTTGTTTCTTCGCACAATTTGATCTGTAATCATCTGTAAGTTTTGTGGTTTTTCAATTCAGATTCCCAGATTTGGGGATTTTAGGGTTTTGATTTTCTTGACTTCACTTTTTGATTTGGAGCTGATTGTTTTTGATTGGGGGTTTTGAAATCCTACATTGGGATTGTTTTTGTTGATTTTGTTGACTTACAGTTTGTAATTTTTGTTGTTGATGGTTGGAAATTAGGGTTTTTGGCCGAGGAAGATTATCGAAAACGGACGATATTGCAGTATGAGCATCAATAGTCCTGGAAAAGAGAAGAATTAGGGTTGGTGAGAACACAAGCGGAAAGCTTTGGAGTTCCATGGGCGATGGAGGTGTTGCATGCGTGCCTTCGCAGCCAATTATGGAGAAGTTTCCGGGTTCCGAAACATTTTGCGGTGGCGGCAGCGGTAGTGGCGGTAGCAACAACAATAGTAATGGCAAATTGGAGACTAAACCAGTTAAGAGGACTACTACTAAGAGGATGAAGTTGAAGAGAGATGCGTTTTTCAAGAAGGAAGAGCCGGGAAAGACCGAGCCAGTTCCGGAGAAAGTGAAGAGCAGTGGGGAAGTTGAGAATGGGGAAATTGGGGGTGATAAAGTGCAGAAAGACGAGATTGAAGAAGGAGAATTGGGGACATTGAAATCTCCCCGGAGAGACGGGGAGAATGGCGAATTTATGCCTGATATATTGCACAAGACTGAGACTGGAAAAGGTGAGATTGTTACTGACAAGTGGAGGAGGGATGAATATGAGAAAGGGGAGTTTTCTCCACCCAGGTGGCGAAAAGGGGATGCGGAGAGGTATGATTTCGGCTCAGGGAGATTCCGGAATGACGCCCTTCAGAGAAGGGATCGAACTCCGGAGAAGTATAGGAAAGGAGAATACGAGAAGGGGGAATTCAGTTTGTGGAGAGGGTCCAAAGATGAAGTCGAGAAGGGAGAATTTATTCCTGAGAGGTGGCATAAAGGAGATGTTTTCCGGGACGATTATGGCTACTTGAAAGGGCGCAGGCATGATTCAAGTAGAGAGCGAGAACGAAGATATGAACATGAATGGACACCGTCTTCTGTTCGATATTCAGGTGAGGATGTCTCTCCCAGCAGGGATTTTAGTAGAAGTGGGAATCATCGCCATGTCAAGAGAAATCCAAGGTGGGAAGTTAGCCAAGAAAGGAGCTACCCGAAAATGAGCTCAAAAATGATGGATGATGTGGCTTACAAGAATGAGTACAGTCATGGGAGAGGCCATGGAAGAGAACACTCATCAGGTGGTCGATTGAAGAGGCATGTCACTGACTCGGAAAGCAGTGACCGCAAGCCCTATGATGATCATGGTGATTATGTCAGTATGAAAAGCAGAAGGTTATCAAATCCAGAGCATTACTCTCGTCAGTCTGCTGATAAGTCATTTAGACATTCAAATTCATCAAGGCCTGTTTCTGATAGGCTTTCATTGCGCCATTATGATGCTGCACCTACAAGAGCGGCTTATGACAGGCAGAGGCGTAGCCCTAGTTATTCTGAGAGGTCTCCATATGAGAGAGGCCGACATCATGATCATAGGGACAGGACTCCTGCACGTCATGAAAGATCCCCATGTTATCGTGGTCATCGCCATGACAATAGGAATCGAAGCCCCAGTTATATTGAAAAGTCTCCCAATGACCGTGTTAGGGTACATGATCGCCAGGAAAGGTCTTCAAGTTACTCTGGATCCCCACCTGAACGCAGTAGGCCGTTTAACCACCGCCAAACGAGTAGGAGTGAAGTGAGTGAGACTAAGCAGAGTGATAGGATACAGAGCGAAAAGCCTACTGAGAAAATTCGTAATGATAAAGATTCAACTACCTCGGTTAAAGATCCTTTAAATGTGAATGATAAGCCGAATGGAACAGTTGACCAAGGCATTTCCTATGAGTCTCATGTGAAAGATGAAAATCAAGGCCCTTGTTTGGATGTCAAGGAACAACCTTCATTGGTCAATGGGAATATTGAAGAATTGCCATCAATGGAAGAAGATATGGATATATGTGACACACCTCCACATGTCCCTTGTGTGGCTAGTGTGAACCCAGGGAAATGGTATTACCTTGATCACTATGGAGAGGAGCGCGGTCCTTCTAGATTATGCGACTTAAAAGCACTTATAGAAGGAGGAATACTTATGTCAGATCACCTGGTTAAGCACTCTGACAGTGACAGGTGGGTGACTGTTGAAAATGCAGCTTCTCCGGTCCTAACTCCTAATTTTACGACAATTTTTTCAGAGACGGTCACACAGTTGGTGAGCCCTCCCGAGGCTCCTGGAAATGTGCTGGCCGATGTTGGAGATGCTGAGCATTCTGTGGATCAGGTTGGTATGGAGAGTTTAGATTCTTCTGTTCATTGTGTGACTGGTCAATCTGACCATCTTCTTCCTGATGATCTTGGCATCGATGAAAGAGTTGGGGCTCTTTTAGATGGCGTTACTGTTTTACCTGGAAAGGAACTCGAGATAGTTGGAGGTAAGCTCCTGTACTGTATAACCTTGATCACTTGTTTGAACTTTTTGGAGGTTAGCTATTTTTGTACAGTTTGACCTTGATCACAGGTGAGAAAACCTCCTCTATATGTGAGGTTAAATCTGAACTAATGAAAATATATATCTAAGGTCATAGTTTTCTTATTCCATTAAACTTGAAATCTGTTTTTCCAAAGTCGCGCACCATCCTCTGCATTTTCCCTGACCTCCCTTACTTTTTCTTGCTTCTGCAACTAAAATTCAAGAGATTTGGCCTGCTGTTCATCTGATACCTGGCCACAATTGCTGCTTCACAATCTGCGCCATACATTAGTCCCATTTAATCCAAATTATAGGTGACTTGCTGAATTTAACTTTTATATCAATAAATTTAACCATATTGATTGATAACAATGATAAGCACTCATACAAAAGAAAGACCTTCCTTATTCTTGTCATAATACTGATCACTATTTAGTTTTATATATAGATCATAAAATATATGTTATACTATAGTTTGAATTGTGCTGATCGTTGGCTTTTAAAATAATTTTTATTATTTTATTTTAAAGTGTTTGTCCAATATTCATATGGGTTGAGTAGTAATCATTATACGAAGTATATATATATTTCCACTAGATGAGATGTGTTCTCACTTAATAGAGTGTTTGCACGTATTGTATTTATGTATAAACTGTTAGTTCCTTGTAAAGAGATATGCTTTCTTCAAGCTAGAATTTTTTATAGTAATTTTTGACAATACTCTATCTTTGTTGTGCAATTCATGTCCTGCCACTTAAGATGTCTATGAGAACCACTTTTGGCCCATGTTGCACACCATACCGACCTTACAATGAATAATTTTTTTTTTTTTTTTTTTTTTTTTTTTTTTTATAAATAAGGAAGTGAGTTAATAATTAATAAAGGGGTTTTAATTTGCATATCACCACAAGCAGGAAGATTAGTTACAGACTGTGGCACCTTAAGAGACAGTTGGCTGAGATGGCTTTTTATGTGCATATTGACCCAACAAATGTGGTTTATTTTTAATTTTAAACATTTAGGAGTGTGGTTCCTTAGCAATGTAGCCTATCAACATCATTGTTATCATTGCTGTTCTTAAATTTTTCGTCTACATACCTGATATAGTGCTGCTAAATGTTTGTGCAGAAGTACTACAGATGACATTTGATCATTCAGAGTGGAAAAGATTTGGTATCTTGGAAGGTATGTGTATTTCCAAAGTTATTTGTCAGTCTTCGTCATTATTGTTCTTAATTAGCAGTGAATCTTTGACATATTTCATGAAGTTCATTTGTATTGTGCATTACTTATTTAGAGCGGGGTTGTTGCAGATAATTTTGTTCACTATTAAAGGATAAATTCTGATTATTGCAATCTGTCTTCTCCCTCCCTCTTGGAGAGCTGTTATTTCTAAAGCAAATAGTTCAATTTTATCTTAACAAATCAAGTGAATGTGTGATGCTTATACTGTAAGTAATGCCAGTAATGTATCTTCATAAATTGATCCTCCCTAATATAGAAAAACTTTTTCAATGCTGGTAATTATCTCTTCCTTGACCTGGACTTATTTGCTCTCTTTATTCTCTGATATCATTTGCATTTAGGAAATCTGGAATAGTAACCTTTTTTTTGTAAGTCTATTCCGTTTGTCACTCTTGAGCAATCTCATTCATATGCATTTATGTTAAGATAGCTGATTAGCTTTCTAAGTGTCTTGGGATGTTTACTCATGCTTTATGCTTTTAAACACAACTCTGTATGTGATGTTGCTTGAAAATGCATAAATTCTTATTAAGATAATGGATTAAGAAATAGTTTTGCTTGCAACTTTTAAAATTTGAAGTGACCGATTTGTTGACATCATATGTTCTATCCACCATACAGGCTTTATGCAGGATAATTCATGCAGTCAAGACCCTTTGGAGCAGAATCAGGAAGAGGATATATCACGACATCCGGACTCTACATCAAAGGACACTGCTGAATCCACCTCTACTGCTAGTCTTGATAAGGAATGCTCTTACCTCTTGAGTGAATTTACTGAATGGTTCTCTGGTCGATGGTCATGTAAAGGTGGGGACTGGCAAAGAAGTGAAGATGCCATTCAAGACAAATATTTTAGGAAAAAGGTTGTGTTGAATGATGGTTTCCCTCTTTGTCAGATGCCAAAATCTGGTTATGAGGACCCACGATGGCAGAGAAAAGATGACTTGTACTACCCTTGTCAAAGCAGGAAGCTTGATCTTCCCTCCTGGGCATTTTCCTGGCCTGATGAGAGGAGTGATTCTAGTGCAATCAACAAGCCAGTCCAAGCAAAAGCTGCTGCTGTAAGAGGGGTAAAAGGAAGTATGATGCCAGTGATTAGAATCAATGCATATGTTGTTAAAGATCATGGTTCATTTGTTTCTGACTCTCGGTTGAAACCAAGGGGGAAGGACAAGTACTCTTCGAAGGGAATTAAGCATTACTCTTTATCCACTGATGTTAAGCGATCATCTGAAGAAGAAGCTTTTCATTTCAAAAGCTCTAAGGAGCAAAGCTCTGGAGGATCATGGGAATCTAGTATCGTAGATAAACCAAAAGACCGAGTTTGCACTGCAAATGATTTACAGTTGCACTTAGGTGACTGGTATTACCTTGATGGCACCGGACATGAACATGGACCGTTTTCGTGCTCAGTACTGCTTAAGTTGGTGAATGAAGGTTTTTTGAAGAAACAAAGCAGTGTGTTTCGTAAACTTGACAAAGTTTGGGTTTCAGTTATTTCTGTAATCAAGGCCTCAGAAAATATGAACCAACTCGTTGGAGATAGTATTGCTCCTGTTGGTGTATCTTCTGTAGCACCTGCTGTGCATGGTGATAGCTGTTCACTTTCTAATTCATTCCATAGCTTGCATCCCCACTTTATTGGTTATACACTAGGGAAGCTTCATGAATTAGTCATGAAATCTTATAAGAGTCGTGAGTTTGCTGCTGCTATCAATGAGGTCTTAGATCCATGGATTAATATTAGACAGCCAAGGAAGGAAACAGAGAAGCATAGAAGTTCTCTTTATCTTCAAAAATCTCCCATGGGTATGTTTTCCTATACTTAATTTCTAGTTGGTCTTATCTGATATTGCTTGCATTAACGTGGTACTCTGTTTTTGTTGCATTGTCAGGCGAGAGTTTAAAGTATTGCTACTTGGTCTATGTTTCATCTTTTGGGTTGACATACTTATAAGTCATGTTGGCCAGTATTACATATGTGTAAATTTTTCGAGAAAAGGTGAACTAAGGAATATTGGTGTCGAGTGCTAAATATTGGCTTAATGAATGGCCTTTCTAAGCTTGTTGATTAAGTCCCATTAATAGGATGCACGGAGAACATTAAATTTCATTAATTTAAGATAACTTTATGATTAAGAGTTTATTTGATTTTAATGGCAGTTCAGAGAAGTAAATCCATATATGTCCACTAATGTATTTACTCTGTAGTTTGCCTTCAGACGGCTTTCATTGTGCTTCTTAGCTTATGGTACCTGGAAATTCAATAAGTTGCTTGAAACTTAGTACCTTCACTCTTAAGTCTTAACATTACCTTTAACCCAGAAGAACTAAGAAAAAAATTCTCCATACTAAAACATTGTTTGACCCTTAGTACAATCTAAAACCCATCCATATCTATTCCCGGCTATCTTAGAAACTGTTGTTAGGTAGGCCAACCCATTGATTCGGAAGGAGTAGGGGTTGGATGAAAGAGACTAAGAGAACTAGAGCTTGTCTGCTAGCAATTGTATTTTATATTTAACATATTTAAATAAAATAATATGTTTATGTTTGCTTATTTGTTTCAATTCACTATCTTTTCTCTTTTACTAAATATTTTCAAAATAATTTTAAAACTCATGTACAAGTATCTAAAGAACTTTTAGTATGATACACTTCTTCTGTAGGGAAATTATAGTCACCTTGTTGCATATTCTGCTTTGGGATATCTAGACAAACTGCTACCTTTAAAAAAATAGTAATAGTTTGTGATTGGCCTACCCATTCCCTTACTAAGGTTGAGCAATGGGGAGTGTGTGGATTGGTCCATTGTGTCTATTGTTTCGGACAGGGAGTAAATTTTGATTAGAACTGTATCATATCCTTAATTCTTGTGGACTTTTTTTTTTTCGGGGCTTCTTCCACTTCCAGTTATCTCCTTTTATATTTTTGGTGGAAACATTCAAATTGCAGAAGGCATCAGAGAATATGTTTTAAATAGTTTTCTTTCTGTATTAATAGTGTGTCAAAGAAGTTTGTATATTATATCAAGCCCTAAATTCTTCCATTTTAAGTAGTTCAACATGTCTCTATATGACTATTGTTTCTTTGGTTTTTGGTCTTGCTTTTATGCAGAGAATGAAGTATCTATGCTTTTTGAGGAAGACATGCATGGTAAAAAAAGATGTCGGACACTTATTGATGGAGATGATGAAAATTACGAAGTGGCCAAAGGCTTATCACGTTTCTCTTATAGGGAGCCCTCATTTGAGGACTTATGTGGCAGTGTTACTTTTTGCAAAGAAGAGGGTGTGTGTGCTAAGAATGAGGTGGGAAGCTGGGGTCTACTGGATGGTCATATTTTGGCACGCATTTTTCATTTTCTTAGAACTGATATCAAATCCCTAATGTTTGCTGGCACAACTTGCAAGCACTGGAGGGCTGCTGTTGGTTTCTACAAAAATGTGAGTGTAAGGGTTGATTTGTCAACTATGGGCTCCAACTGCAGTGACTCCATTATTGGGAGTGTCATGGTGAGTTTTGGGTATATTATTATTATTATTATTTTTTTTATTATCGTGGGACCTCTTTATAATCTTAATTATGTGTTTTATTGTTAATCCCCATGCAGAGTGGATATAATAAGCAAATGATAAAGGTGTTAGTTTTAGATAGTTGTACCAATGTTACTTCAGCTGTGCTTGAGGAGATTCTTCAGTCATTTTCTTGTATATCCTCGGTTGATATAAGAGGTTGCAGCCAGTTTGAGGAGTTAATATTCAAATACCCCCATGTAAACTGGGTCAGAGAGCGAAGTTCACAAGGCATTGGTTTTGAAGAGTCAAATTCAAAGATAAGGAGTTTAAAACAGATGCCCGAGCAATCTTCATCGGTTTCTAAATTGGGTCATGGGAGTTATATGGATGAGTCCAGTGGGCTAAAAGATTACTTTGATATGGTGGAAAAAAGAGGTGCAGCTAATCAGGCATTCAGGCAGAATCTATATAAGCGTACAAAACTGCTTGATGCTCGGAAATCTGCATCTGTCCTAGCCCGTGATGCCCGAATGAGGCATTTGGCTATGAAGAAGGCTGGAAATGGGTACAGAAAAATGGAGGAATTCCTTGTGCTTAGCTTAAAGGATATTATGAAGGGGAACACATCTGACTATTTTGCGGAGAAGGTTATTTATCAGCTGTTTCTAGATATTGAAGTCCTTTTTTCCCCTCCTTCAATCTGGTGTTATTTTTAGTAACTCATTTGTCTTTTTATTTTGGTTATTTTTTTATAGGTTGCAGAAATTCAGAACAAAATTCAGGATGGATATTATACTAATCGCGGCTTGAGCGCTGCTAAACAAGATATCACTAAAATGTGCAAAGATGCAATAAAGTACTCTCTCTCTCTCTCTCTCTCTCTCTCTTATATTCTTCCACCCAGATTCTTATGTTAGATTTCCATATTTGTTAACCTCAAGTGTAACCATTAAACAATCAACCATGACTCAATTTAGCTGGATAAAGTTAGTAAAATTGTGATGGATGATGTCCTGTGCCAGGAGATCCATGTGTAGAGCCACAGGAGTTTAACATTATATTTTCTGCTCAATAATTGTGATGGATGCTCTCCTGTGCCAGAAGAACCATGTGTAGAGCCAAGAAGTTTAACATTAGCTTTTCTGCTCAATCATCTATGTTTATTTCTTTCTTTTCTGTGCAGAGTTTGTAAATCTAGGACTGGTTTTAAAAAATTTGTCATGGGTTACTTTTTTGCATTGCCACCGTTTCTCAATGTCAGTTTTGAGCTTTTGTGTCATATGTTACCTCCCTCTTTCAGCCTCATACTTTGAGTATATGATCTGCCTCATAAGGCCCTATATTTATGTCTTTCATGAAGTTTGATGAATATCATAGTTGCATTATTTACAACGGAATTTTTTTTTAAATATACAATGATACACTGTTGCTTTGTTTTGTTTGTTTGTCTGGATTTTTTAAAAATTTTATCTTATATTTGTGTTTCTTTATCATTTGGCCTAAATTATCATGTGATGTATCAGTACTATAACAAGCTATGCATATACAGATTACAAAAACGAGGTGAAGCAGGTGATATGGAGAGTGTTATTCATCTGTTTATTAAACTTGGAACACGTCTTGATGAAAGCTTTAAATCAGCTATTAATAGAGATGAGATGAAGAAAAAACTGAGGGATGAAACCAGTGGTCCCTCTTGTCACAGAAAGTCAAAAACACCCACAGAGAGAAAATATACGAGCAGGGCCAATGGCTCATCATCAGTTAATGGGGATTTTGATTATTTGGAGTGTTCTTCTGACCGGGAGATTAGAAAGAATCTTTCAAGAACGTATAAGAAAGCAGACTTGGATGGTGAATCATCTGATGAGTTTGTGTCATCTTCAGATGATGGAAGTAACACTGGAAGTGCCTCGGATACAGAGAGTGATTCAGATGTACGTTCAGGTGTTACTTTTGAGGCGAAAGAGGAATACTTCAATGAAGATGATGCTTTTGATTTAACCCCTGAGGATCGTGAATGGGGTGCTCGTATGACCAAGGCCAGTCTTGTGCCTCCAGTGACACGGAAATATGAAGTTATTGAACAATATGTTATTGTAGCTGATGAGGCTGAAGTGCAACGAAAGATGAAGGTAGCATTGCCTGAAAATTATGAGGATAAAGTGAAAGCTCAGAAAAATGGTTCTGAATTGGTGGATATGGAAATTCCTGAAGTTAAACAATATAAACCACGGAAAGAGCTTGGACAGGAGGTTATAGAACAGGAGGTGTATGGAATTGATCCTTATACACACAATCTTCTTCTTGATTCAATGTCTGAAAATGTGGATTGGTCTCTTACAGAAAAGCATGTTTTTATTGAAGATGTGATCCTTAGGGTATTGAATAAACAAGTTAGACAATACACAGGCAGTGGAAATACACCCATGACTTATCCTTTGAGACCTGTCATAGTGGAAATTCTTGGAACAGCTAAGCAAGATAATAATATGAGCACTCTGAAACTTTGTGAGGCTCTTTTACAAGCCATTGATAGCCGGCCTGACGACAATTACGTTGCTTATAGAAAGGTACTTTCTAGAGTTTCTATTTGCTTCAACATAAATTTCCTTTCGTTACTGGCTCCTTATATGTGGAAACAATGTTCTTGTTCTGTAATCTTTGTTCAGGGGCTTGGTGTAGTCTGTGACAAACAAGGTGGTTTCACTAAAGACGATTTTGTTGTTGAATTTTTGGGAGAGGTATGTCTTTCACTTTCGCCAATTCCAATTTTTGCTTGAGAAACCATGATCGTTTGAATACATTCATTGAGTCTTCTTGTGCTCTTTGTGCAATCACCCCAGTAAACTAGAAATGGATAAACTGACTGTTAGAAGAACTATCAATGTCACACATTAATCATATATGCAGTTATGCACTGCGTTCTGCTGTAGTGTGGCTTCTAACGTTATTTTTCAAAAAACTGTATCTTTGATGGCTAAATCTAATATTTTTTATTAACTTTCTCTCCCTCTTGCGTTTAAGCTTTAATTTTTAAGACTAGGGTTTTTTTTTTAATTTGATAGGTTGAAGTGAAGCACGCATTAAATTCTGAAAGGTTAAGGGTGTTCATTTGTTTACCATCAGAGACAAACAGAATATAGCATCTTGCTCCTGTATTTTTCCATTATGAATTCATCTTTTAGCTCTGGGTAAAGGAGAGGAAACATGCACACAATTGACACAAGCACCCTGTTAACTTTGTACATTTACTTTAAGAAAATTATACCCATTTCACCTTATATATTATGAGTACTTGGGAAAAAACATGTTATTTGTTTTAGGCATTAAATTTGAGAGTAGCTATGCATGTTGATCTGTAGATTATCAAAGAACCTTTCTCCTATTATTATGACAACCTGTGTATCTCAAATTTGATCCATTGATGTATATACCCATTTCATAGTGCAAATGATAGATGATGGTTCACTGCATTGCTTAAAAAAACCCAGAATATATATAACTATTAGGCCTTTAAATCTTTTATCATTGGTGGCGTGGGCTTGACTTATCTTCAGTGCCATATTTTTCGAAATAAAGAAGGCTAAAGGGAAGGGAGAAGTTTCTTTAGACTTTTGCAAATAGGAGTAGAACTAACAACTAACAACTGAACCGACCATCTCCTCTTAAAATTTGCTGCAGTTCTACCCATGTATTTTGAAAATTAACAATGTTACGTGGACACATCATTTTGCCCACCTTTCCCGGATGGATATAACTCGACACCAATCTGGGTTCTAGTATTGGATATGGATAAGGATATTTCATGAAAAGAATACTCTTCTTTTTACTTTTGGTCTTTCATCTCTTATGTTGGGCAACCTGTAAATTGGACTGATGATAGACTATAGATTATCTGATTTTTATTTTACTTTTACTTGATATGGGCTTGGTGGTCTTTATCATGTTTTGGCTTTCATATATGTAGTACTTCGTATGTGTATAATTCAGCGTATTCATTCTAGATTATAGATTTATATGTTTAGATTTCCACTCTGAATTGTGTGATTTGGAACACTTGTAGGTTTACCCTGCTTGGAAGTGGTTTGAGAAACAGGATGGAATCCGTTCTCTGCAGAAGAATAGTAAAGAACCTGCACCTGAATTCTACAACATATATCTCGAGAGGCCCAAGGTTTTTCCTTAGTTTGGATTATTTAATTGAAAACCCTTTTCCACCCTTTTGTTTTGTGATTTTAACAGGGTCATTAAATTGCTAACTGTAAATTCTTTTTGGCAGGGTGATGCTGATGGCTATGATATACTTGTTGTTGATGCTATGCATAAGGCAAATTATGCAAGTCGAATTTGTCATTCGTGTCGACCTAATTGTGAGGCAAAGTGAGTACTTTCTATTTTTTTTCGTGCATTTAGTCCCTTAAGAGTCTTTTTTTTCTTTTTTCTTTTTTATTTTTTAAAAAAGAAGGAAAAATGCCCTTGCTTGCCTAGACATTCCTTTTCAACTCACATGTATTGAATATATTTGTTAGTTTATTTCCAACTTGGTGCTTGACTAGGTATTCTTTTTCTACTCACTTGTGTCTAATATATTTGTTAAATGTTTCCAAGTTAACTTGTGCCTCGTATGAATAACCATTATTTGAACTTGCAATCTTGCTGTCTTGAGAAGATTGAACCTTTATGTTTTTTCCACGAAGGACATGTATCACTTTATGGAAATCATTATGCTCTCTGTTGATGGTGCTTGTAGCTCTTGTGACATTACCTCGCAAATGAGGTTTTTAGTGACTGTAATATGTGGTGTTCCTGTAGGAGCATATGACCAAAATTGAAAGGCTAGTGATTGGCTGATGTGGAGAGTTTTGAGCTGTTCTATTTTGACAATATGTTAACCTTGGAAAAGGGAAGAAGTTTTGGTATTTGGGAAGGATGTGATAGAGTTTGCTAGTTTTGTGGAAGGGAGGCTTGTAGTGATTGGAACTTTGGAAGCATTGCATTGGTATCTGTATGGTAGTAGGTGCTGTTGAGTCGAAAATTGTTTAAGAATAATTTGTGGCCTGTAGTGGTTGAAAAGTGTATTTGTAGCGTTTCACATGGACAATTTAATTATTTGTGAACCTCATATTAATAGAGATAACTGTTAAAAGGGGTAAAGAATGATAATATATATGTTCATGAAATAGGTCAAAGAGCCTCGCAGCTTGTAATCATAAAAGAAAGGTCGTTGCATTAAGACAGAAGAAGCTTCTACATGAAATCAGGAGTTTCTTCACACTGCCTTTTTCAAAATTTATAGAGATCGCAAAAAGTCCTTTGTTTTTGTGTGAAGCTATTTTCTATTATATTATTATTTACCACCCTATAATATGGATTTTTCTTTTTCTGTACCGTTTTTTTTGGTATTGGTATGAACAATCATATAGTGCTTGACCAATGACCATGCTGTTAACTATCTGATTATGTAAATGCAGAGTTACGGCTGTAAGTGGTCAGTATCAAATTGGAGTCTACTCTGTTCGCCCAATCGGATTTGGGGAGGAAATTACCTTTGACTATAATTCAGTTACTGAGGTATGTACATTTATCTTTTTCATTTACCGCCATCACTCCCTTTTTTATTTCTTGAATTTTTACTAAGACTTCAACGTCAATTGCTTACTTATTGATGGCCTTGATATTTTTTGTAGAGCAAGGAAGAATATGAAGCCTCTGTTTGTTTGTGTGGTAATCAAGTCTGCCGTGGAAGCTATTTGAATTTAACAGGCGAAGGGGCTTATCAGAAGGTATATCGATTTGAATCATTCATCATGAAAATATTTGTACAGATTTTTTATCACCATCATGCGCCTTTTGCAATGTTTAAATGTATCATATATGTTTTGGTAGACTGTCATAAATTTTCCAAGAGGATTATATGCAGGCTTTGAGATTGCTGTGTATAAAACAAAAATCGGGTTAGTAATTAGTAAATACTGTCAGAAAAAAAAAAAATTTGTGTTTAACACCAAGCACTCCGTAGTATTAACTATTGATGACAAATTATTGTCATTGATGTCAAGTATGGACTACAACATACTAATATGTCAAGTATAGCACTTCTAGTCCAACTATATTTTTAGAGTTCACATTTTAGATTTGTAATTTTTTTACAATCTAATCAGCTCAAGTTGATTAAGGCTTTAAAATTCATGTGTCATATACTTATTCCAATTAAGTATACCCCCTTGTTTTGTTTGCTTAATTTCATTTTCCATCCTTTCCAATCTAGTTTTCCCGTTTCTTGAATTGGAATGACTGACTTTTTTTTTTTAATTACCTCTCTTTCCCTCTAACAGAAGCTAGTGTCTCACCATCTCTAATTCAATTTAAAATATATATTCACTATCCCCTATCACATATTCACATCCACCTATTTATTTTTAAACACCAACTATTTTACTAAAACTATGCACCATGATAAGTGAACACACTAATTTGGAGCAAAAAGATTACTAGTTTTTGATCCCGTGCTACGCATGTACTTTTCAACTTTTTAAATAAACTGAAATGAGTCATTTTAAATAAAAAAAAATTAGTGTCAATTCTAACTGAACATATTTTAACTTATACCATTATATATACTCCCTACGTTTTTGTTTTTTATCTTACCAAATTTTGACCTTTTGCACTGTTCCCTGACTTTACTTCATTAAGTTTAGTGATTAACTGATTATAAATAAGAAAAAACATAGTTAGATGGGATATGGTTAGAATCATCTCAATGCCTTATTTTTCAAATGTCAACTTTTTATAGTTTTGCTTTAATGATTAAATATTTTAATGGTCTAAGTTCTGGGTTGGCCAGCATTTAAATACGTACGTTACATGCAATTTTAGTTGGCAAATTAAATAAATGATAATAACAAAACCAAATATTGTTCCCTAAAAACAGCCTTACGTGATTAGGAAATTTAATGACATAACTTTTATGTTTTGTTTTTTAGCTTTTAGTAATAATAATTAGAAATCAATAATCCTTTTGTTGTTTAATAGTCAGTATTCCAAAATCTGACATCAAAAGTCAACGAGGTCAAGCACGAGTAGCTCTTACCTTATCGCACGACCTCATTCCAGGACCTGTTGTCGATTTTTTTTTTTAATATTTTTTTTTATTTTTTTTATGATGTTCATCAGGTGCTGAAGGAGTGGCATGGACTATTGGATAAGCACCGTTTGCTCCTGGAGGCATGCGAATTAAATTGGGTATCTGAGGAGGATTATATTGACTTAGGAAGGGCTGGTCTCGGAAGTTGTTTGTTGGGCGGTTTGCCTGATTGGCTGATTGCTTATTCAGCTCGGCTGGTATGTATTTTCTTATTCGTTATTTTTTTTGTTGCCAGATGTTTATTGGCTGTCTGTGTCCACAATCCTCTAATGATCTGGTTTGGTTGTAGGTACGTTTCATAAATTTTGAAAGAACCAAGCTACCTGCAGAGATCTTGAGGCATAATTTGGAAGAAAAGAAGAAATATTGTCAAGAAATATCTCTAGAGATGGAGAAGAGTGATGCTGAAGTCCAGGTTAGCCCTTTTTTGCACAATACACTGAAGATTTAACTGATTATTTTTTTTAAAGGAAGAAGATTTAACAGTTCCTCCAAGCATCGGCCTTTCTTTTTTCGCTTCCTAGTCAATGATTAGCCTGTTTGAAATTCATGTGTCTAAATTACGTGATAGCATCAAAGAAATTAATTGTTTGCAGCTACAGATTAATCTTGGTTGCTTTTTTATTTTTATATTTGAATGGATAGGCAGAAGGAGTTTACAACCAGAGACTTCAAAATTTGGCTCTGACATTGGATAAGGTATGCACCATAGTCTTCTCAATTGTGTTTTTGTCATAATAAAAATTTCTTTCATTATTTCATATGTTGTGGCAATCAGTCGGATTAGAGGGTAGGTGATTATGGCTTACTTTATAGCCAGTAAAGTTACCTGTTATTTTATTACAAAAGTCATAAAACCCTAATTACGCACCATTAGTTTTGTGCTTATAGTTCAAGACAATTTAGGCTTTAGTTGATACATTTTAATGGTGATGATTATTTATAGTATAATAGTTGATTGCCTTGGAGTATGGGGTTACTTTAAGTGTCTTGTACAACAAGACACTTGACTCATAGTCATCCTAGTCTAAAAGTTTTAAGAAGGTGTCTGAAGCACATTATAATTTGTTTAGGGTTGGATTTCTTTGTATTTTGTTGTGTATATACTAATCTGCTAGCTTATATTCTTCCAGGTTAGGTATGTCCTAAGGTGTGTATTTGGAAACCCAAAGGAAGCTCCTCCTCCTTTGCAGAAGCTTAGTCCTGAAGAGATGGTGTCTGCCTTATGGATTGGAGAAGGTTCACTTGTTAATCAACTTCTTGAGTGCATCGCTCCACATATAATTGATGATCGCATACTACAGGACCTTAAATCAAATATCCGTGCTCATAATCCATCAAGCTCTGGGAATCTTGAAAAAGACCTAAGGAAATCTTTATTATGGTAAGAATCACAACTATATATGCTTCTGAATTTTATTCTATTATGTTTGCTCATAATTATATCCTTCCTAAGGTTGAGGGATGAGGTTCGCAATCTTCCTTGTACATATAAAAGTCGACATGATGCAGCTGCTGATTTGATCCACATATATGCTTACACAAAATGTTTCTACAAAATTAGGGTGAGTTTACTTTTTTCCTACTACAAAAGCTGTTTCAAACCTTCAGGAGCATCAATTTCTTGAATTTTCCTCTTTAATTCATTATCATATTACTCCTGCAGGAATACAAGTCTGTAACTTCACCTCCTGTTTCCATCAGCCCTCTTGATCTTGGACCTAAGTGTGCTACAAAACTGTCTGGGGTAGTTGAATATTGCAAGACTTACGGTGAAAACTACTGTTTAGGACAGTTGATTTATTGGCACAATCAGGCTAACACTGACCCAGATCGTGCGTTAGTACGAGCAAGCAGGGGCTGCTTGTCATTGCCTGATATTGGTTCTTTTTATGCCAAGGCTCAAAAGCCATCAAGGCAGCGTATTTATGGTCCAAGGACTGTAAGATTTATGCTTCGTCGAATGGTGAGTATGTTTGTTCTTTAAACTACAAAATTCGTTGGTGTCCATGCAAATAAATGTTTTCAAATACTCAAAATGGTATTTAAATTTCCTTGTTCAAGTATTTGAGTGGTGATGGTGTTTTGGTTTGTGTGTGGGTCAAGTGTAGTTTGCGTATGTTATCCATTTTTATCATTAAATGAATAGTGAGACTTTTTTTTTTTATATTTTTATTTTTAAGGTTAGGAGGATCTTGACTGAACCTCAATCATCACGGGTTTTTTTGGTCCAGTTTTTGCGGGTCAAGACACTTTGAGAGTGAGGGGGGAAGGGTAAGGGATCCCCAGCCTCAAAGTGCCCCTAATGGGGATTGAACCCCCAACCTCAAGGTTGGAAGATACAAAGCTACCAAGCTTAGCTTGGTAAATATTGAGATAGAATTGGATGTCATACTTATCATACTTGTTTTGGTTTGTGTGGGTCAAGTATAGTTTGCGTATGTTCTCCATTTTTATCATACTTGTTTTGTGCTCTCTGGCAACTCACTAATTTTATGCATTTATTGTCTGAGCTGATTAAATGTCTGCAGAAGCCTGCTAGTTGCTGCATCCTTTGTATAGTGAGGCCTAGTGTCTTGTGATTTTGCTGCTGTATTCCTGAAAGACGTTCTTGGATTATATCTTTTTGTGGGAAAGGTTTTTGTCTTGTGACCTGTCTTAACTCATCTTATATCTTTGTTAATCAGGAAAAACAGCCTCAGAAGCCATGGCCTTTGGATAGAATATGGTCATTTGAGAGTTCCTCGAAATTTTTTGGTAGTCCTATGTTAGATGCCGTATTGAATAATTCTCCACTGGAGCGGGAAATGGTGATTTGGTTGAAGAATAGACCTGCCATATTCCAAGCCATGTGGGATCGATGACCTTCGATTAGTTGACGGTACTAATTTAACACACTTATTTGCTTGAAAGGGGTCCAATTATTAGTTCGGGGATTCCTCTCCCTCAAGTGGGCAATGGTAGCTACCTGCCTCATCATCTTCATTCTTGTGTACAGAGTCTTTTTCCTCCATTTTGCTTGTGTAATTTGTAAGTTACATTAGGTCATAGAAAAATTTTCCCCTCTTGTTCTTAATGTTCTAAGCTTAGTTAAATTCAAACGATTAATTTTAGTTAATAGAAAATGAAATTAGTAAGCCAATTTTTCTATAGCAGCTCATGTTGTAGTTCTTTCCTTTTTATTAGTAATACTAGTGGTCTAGTGTGGTAGTAGCATCGCGTTGATTATGTTAAGCGTTGATTTTTCTATATAAATTTCTTTCCACATGCTCAAGGTTTGGAAGGTGTAATCATTTTTGTAAGTGTTATGTAATTTTATAGGATGTACATATATATTCTTTTTGTTGATTCAGGAAAAAGAAAAACACTGGAGGTGCGCAACGATTATTCATTTGAGCCTGGCAAATCTTGTGAACGTGAAATTTCGAATGTAGAAAGCAAAAATTTGATGATAAAAAAAGTGGATGAGCCAAAAAAAATTGCGGATTCGCATATTAGAAAATTAAGATAAATACACTGATAACTGTACATGTAAAGACGCATGATTTAGGAGTAAAGACTAAATACGGTCCCTAAACTATTGTATTTGCGCCGTTTTAGTCCCTCTAAACTATTTTGTGCCCTTTTAGTCCCTCAACCACCTTCTTTGGTGTTTGTCAGCCAAAAATTTAGGGACCTAGCCTAGTCAGCAAAAGTTGAGGGACCATGACTTTTTTTTTTTTAATTTTTTTTTTGAATTTATTAAAAAATGAATCTTTTAATTATTTGTTTAAAAATTAATAATAAAAAACCAACCACCCTTAAAAAAGCCCAGCCACCTTCCCTTCTCCTGTCGGAAGTCGGCGATGGCGACCATACCTACTCCCTTTCCCCCCACCTACCAGCCACACCCACCACACGCACCACCAGCACAATATAAATTCAACAAACTCTACTAATCAATCGATCATACAAATCAAAACCCCTAATTTATCACAAAATCATGAATTCAACCCAAACTATTCAACAAATTGGGCAAAATCATACCATTTTTCGCCAATTCTGCAAGCCACCACAAATCATAATTAAAAAATCATTTTTCGCCAAAATCATACCACCAGCAACACTACCCAAATAATTAAAATCAAATCCCCACCCTAACCCTAAACCCGCCTAAGCCTACACTCTAAAGCCACCACAAACCCAGCCTAAGCCACGCACCACCACTAGCATCACACGCACCACCACCAGCACCATCACACACGCACAACCACACCCACCACACGCACCATTAGCACCATCACTACCCAAAAACTTAAAAAAAAAATTCCTCAACGTACCTTATGAAATCTTCAACGTTTGGTTTATATGGTTAAATTCGACCATAAAAACCCCAGATTTGGAGTTTTCATGGTCGAATTCGACCTAAAAAACCATTAATTGATAGTGGTCGAATCCGATCAAAAGCCCTGGGGGTGGGTGGCGCTGGACTTCAAAAACCAAGGAGAGAGAATGAGAAGGGAGGAGGGAGGCGGAGATGAGAGAGAAAGAGGGAGGAGGGAGGAAGGAGGCGGAGATGAGAGAGACCGAAGGGAGGAGGGAGGCGGAGATCAGAGAGAAAGAAACTGAGGAGATAAAGAGGAGAGAGAATGAGAACAAGAGGTTGGGTTTTAAAAAAATAATTAAAAGATTATTTTTTTAATAAATTCTTAAGAAAAAAAAAATTCATAGTTCCTAAACTCTTGCTTAGTCATCAAAATCCTCAACTTTTGGCTGACAAACACCAGAGAAGGTGGTTGAGGGACTAAAAGGGCACAAAAAAGTTTAGAGGGACTAAAACAGCACAAATACGATAGTTTAGGGACCGTATTTAGTCTTTACTCCATGATTTAGTATACTTTAAAGTCTTACAAGTTTTGTATCTGTTACGAACTCGTATTAGTGATTGGAAAAATGAAGGAAAGTCTCATATTTATAATACAAATTTTCTTCTTGTTTGAATTTTTTTTTTTTGGCCATTTATTTGTAAATTTACCTGATGGTGACAATTTTAGTTTGATTTGCAATTAAAAGGGGTATGTAACAATCTATAAATCTATAGATATAACCAAAGTAGAAACCGCTGATATCACCGCTGCCTATGTGTCAACTTTTTATTAAAAAAATTCCCGCCAAAACTATAAGTGACATCATCCTTTTTAATTTTTTTTAAAGATAATGTTTGAATTAATTACACATTTTCATAAAAACTTATTTTTTTTTAACTAAATTGACTAGCAACACAATTTTCTTATTGAAAAAAAAATATATACTACGTAATTGGTGGTAACTCTTTCATTTTTCCTTCTTTCCTCATATATTAACCACTTAACACTATTGCTATCATTTTTTAAATTTTATTTTAATTATGAATTTAATTAGAATATATAACGTCATGTCTTCTATGGAGTAATATATATGATCAAATATTTTATTGCTAAAACTGGGACTAACCTAGTCTATATTATAATTGTAGAGTCGTTTTAACGAGAGCCCTCCAAAACCCCAATGCTCAACTCTCATGCATTTAAGTTTATTATTATAATTATTTTTAAGGAAAAAATAACTACCAATCCCACTATTTTATTTTTAATTTTTATATTTTTTTTTAAAAAAAATCAATAACTACCCATTCACTATTTCTTTTTTGTTTTTCTTTTTGTTTTTTTATGGGACTACGTACTACTAACATTTCACTTTATGTGTGTGTGTGTTTTTTTTAGTACGTAGTGTTTGGGGTAAAATTACCCTCTATATGTGGACCAATGCCACCGCGACACGTGTCCGCAAGCTCAGCTCTCTATGAGCCAATTAGAGCATGACACGTGTCACTCAATGATAGAGGAGTGATAATGGGCTCTAAGCCCATAAACCTAGAGCCTTTTAGGTTAAATGACCTAAAAGGCACATATCCCAATGCTCTATAAATACTGATCATTACATCAGTTTCAGGGGATCCAATTCTCTTTGAAAGGGCAATGCCCCCCACATTTACTCTCCCTTCTCTCTACTTTCTCTCTCTAAAATACATAATTTCGGTCACTGACTTGATCGTCGAAGGCGGACCTCCGGGCCCCCCGGGGTCCGTTGTTTTTCAGGTGATCGGGCCGTTCGAGTGTTGCATCGCAGATCTGTCTCCCGAGGGACGTACACACCCTCCATTCGGGTACGTACAAAAAACCCCAAAACATTTGGCGCCGTTTGTGGGGAGGCACATCTGTAATGGCACAACGGTGGATCACCGACTCAATAGGGGGAGCCTCCTTTAGGAGGCGGCAGGCGTCCTAAGGCCGGATGCTGAGTACATCTGGTGTCATGAGGCCGAATGCCAAGAGTCAGACGGTTAAGAAGGCTTGTCAGACTAAATCATGCATTTTTTATTCTCTTAATGGATGGTTAAAAGGCAATGCCATTTGATCTAAGTTGGAGGATGGTACATTAGGGGTAAGGCGGCTAAATTGGCCAACTCCACTATTTTAATCTGACTCATTTTATGAGTCGGCCGCATGCTCAGGCCTCCTCATCCAGCCAGATGCATACAAGCGGTAGCTGCATGCTATTTTAATCATTGCTCATTTACTGAGCCAGCTAGATGCAACATTCGTACTCCACCATGAGACCAAGACATCTAGCAAAATTAATTCAAGCCTATCCAAGCTATTTGCTTGAAGATAGGACATGCGGCATCCGTATGCAATAAAGTAGGCGGCATGCGGCCAATCATTGTGATTGATAATTTGATACTATCAATATCATATATATATATATATATATGTTAATAATTGTATTATACAAATTGTTTTTTCAAGAATAAACTCTTGGAATTAGTGGGGGACATGCGGCCAAACTTAAGCATCCACTCTCCATGAATGATGGGAAAGCCGCATGTGCAAGTATTATTTTTTATTATTCCTCTTCCATTTGCAACAAAATTCATATTGATATATGAAGAGCCGCAGGCATATGGAATTTGTGGGAAAGAGCGAGAGCCGCTCATTCATTACCGGCCTTTGCACCGATCAATCAAACGGCAGCCGATAACAATCATCAAATGTATTAGCTTCATCAATGGTGGCAGCCGGTCACCATCATCAATAATGTCAGCCAGCAACGGTGCCCGGATGACCATGTCTTTAGTGAGGTAGCTCACCGTGGGAGAGCAGCCGCACCTACCAGTCGTAAGGGTTGCTTGGTTCATCTTCAAAGGGGTGGCAAATGGCTGTTATATTCACCAAATATGTGGCTGCTCTGATCAAACCGGCTGCCATGGTTGCCTTGTTCAACCTCAAAGCCGGCTGCTTGGTTGCTTGATAAATAGAGGCGGCAGCTTAATGAAATAAGCCAAGCGCCTAGTTATTCATTCTCAAGTAGCATACTCTTCCCATTTGTTATTTTTCATATTTATTTATGACAAAGCTTTGGAAGAGTAATATCATATTTACAAGGCTATACATACTGTTTCGGGGTTTTCTGATGTCCTGCGGGAGAGTTACAATTCCGAGACTGGAACCGGACGCCTGTACCTGCAAAATAACGGAGACTCCTGGTGGTGGGAGCTCCGCCTCCAACGGTCAAGTTAGTACTTGATTAAGGAGTAATTAATGCGGAAATTAAAGTGATTGGGTCTCTCTAGGTGAGAGTGTTTAATGTAGGTAATCTGCTTTGTTAGCGAGATCAGCCGGTTATTACTGTGTGTAATTAATGTGTTTTTTCGTCCTCCCCCTTAATGAGGATTAAAAGAGGTATTTATAACCTTGGGAAACGTGCCCATCCTAGGTTTAGGTTAACCTAGGGCTGATTGGGCTTCCCTCGGAAGTTGGGCCTGGGTGGCCGTTTTCTCCATTAGGCATGGAGTATGCAACATGTCATGACATAATAGGTCCAAGGTGGACGAATAAGCGCGTGCCACGTGGCAAGACCTGACAGTTCCAACTGGGGGACACTTGGCAGGACCTGATTGGCCCACGTGGCGCATTCCGATTGGTGGAAGCAAAATTCCCTAATCATTTGCCCCTCACAGGTGGCACGTGACTGGTCACGTGTTACATGTGACAGGTGTCGCACTGTAACAGGCGACGACCTTCTACAGGTGTCAGTCGGCGAAAGGCCGAGAGATTTTCCCGCCCAAATTTTGAATTCTGAAAGTGACCCTTCGCCTTCTCACTTCGCCTATATAAGGGAGGATTGTCTTGAGTCATTTTCACACTTGAGAACTTTGAGAGAGAACATTCGGACCCCTGAACTTGCTCTGACATTTTGGACCTTTTCTGCCTACCGCCTGTTCTGACAAGCCGACTGCACAGGATTTTCAGCACTTCATCAATCGTCACTCGTTCAGGTAACTGTCGGTTCTCTTACTCTTAATTTTCTTTT